ATTTATTAAACGTGAGAAAATTAAGAACTCAATTCGTGCAATGACATGTAACTTTCTTGACTTTGATAACCGAAATTTAAATTGAGATGCCAAACGTATTAATACTTTAAAAATCTTACGTAATAAGTATGTAATTCTTAAACCTGATAAAGGAAATGGTGTTGCGATAATGAAGAAAACTGATTATATCACATCTATGACGAAGTTGTTCTCTGATTCAACTAAGTTTAAGTAACTATCTAACTGTTCATTAACTACGCAGCTTAACTCCTTACAGGCCTACCTCCGGACACTATTTAATAGAAATGAACTAACTGAAACTGAATACAAAGAAATTCGTCCAGTATCAACCATGCCTGCTAGAGCCCATGGACTACCTAAATTACATAAAGATTTTGATAATATTCCACACCTAAGACCTATTATTGACATGACCGGTACTTGTTATTATTCAGTAGCTAAGTACTTATCAAACTTATTAGGCCCTCTAACGGTTAATGACTTTGTCCTTAAAGATTCTTTTGATGCTGCTGACCGCATTAAAGCTATACCAAACAATTTATATAATTTAGGTTACCGTTTTGTATCTTTTGATGTTGAATCTCTGTTTACAAATGTTTCTTAGATAGTGAGCTGTCTGGTAGTTGAGAGTGAGCTGTCAAATGGTCCAGAGGGAGCTGTTAGCAGCTCCATAAACTTAACTTTAATTGGTTTTAAGAGTCCATTGGGAGTAAACAAGAGAGTCCTGGCCAGCAACATATACGCCATTGGAATGTAAACAAGAAACCCATTACAATCACTCACTTCATCTCATGGGCTTCAGTGGCAATAAATAATTTAAGAACCCTTCGCTATTCAACAAACCAGCAGGATGTATAACCCGGGTTTTTTCCAAAAGCCGGGTGTCATGGACCAGTTCTGTTAATGGCCAGATATGCAGCATGGACCAAATCACCATCATCATTTTCAGGGCCTGACTCAACCTCTCTATAGTCCTTCCATAGTTACGCAGTTTAGTACCTCAAGCGTCCCTGGATACGGTTGATTGACAGGACTCAACAAGTTGAAATAAGGCGCGAATGGCCTAGGAGAGTTAAACTCCAAATATCACGGTAACTTACTATTATTCAGTCCGATCTAAGACAATCAGGTAAATACCAACAATAATCAACCCTCATTCACAACTGTCAACTATAGTGTTATAAAGGTAATTAGAATTTTTCACTTACTGATAAAAAAATAAATAAAAATGTCATAGGCCTATCCAAAAAATCCAAAGATTTAATGACAACTTAACAAAGATCCCAAGTTTTCATTAAAAAATCCCAAGATCTTGGGATAAACCCAAGCAGTGGTCACAGTTGTCGAAAGACTGCAGCGAAATACAGTAGGTTCAACGAAGCGAGATTGCGCATGCGCTAGTAATGCCTTCAGACACTAATGAATAATTCATAAATACTTGCTCTACGACAAAAAAAATCCGGTTACCGCCCGTGTCGTGTGTATGTGTGTGTGTGTGTGTGTGGGGGGGGGGGGTGTTTTGTCCGCGCATCTCAAAAACTATTGTCATGGGCCGTTTACACTTAATTTTCAGACAATTAATTCCAAAATGTAAATGAACTACTAATACAACTTGACAAGGTTCCATGCCTGGCCATCCTATATTTTTTGTATATGAATAATGACAGACCCCTAAAGCTAGGCTCAATTTTTTTGTCCTGTTTACTGTATTTTAATGAAGTTTGCTTATAATTTATTACAGCTTTAAACCACGGAAGTATTACAGCAAGCATCACCACCAACCCACAAACAGTGAATCCAAAGAATAGCTATCTATATTCTTTGGTAAATCCCACCGATATCTATCCTTCACCCACCGCGACGTGAAAAAGCTGAAGCGAATTTTAGTTCAGCGAAGCGAAATTGCGCATGCGCTAGAAATGCCTACAGATACTGTAATGAATAATTCATGATTTTTGCTCAACTTACCTAAAATAAAAAATCGCCTCCGGGGCGGCTGTTCTGGGTTTTAAAGTTCTATTAATAAGTATTAGGCCAAGGCAATAAGGAAATTCCGCCATGAGAAATTAGCTTTCTTTTTACCTTAAGGTAAATGCACTAGTATTAATACATTAATGCCGCGCACACCGTATTTGTACCAGAGAGGTATTTCGAGACACCTGCTCCAGTGCTCAGCCGATAAGGAAGCGTAGTCAGGTAGGTGCGATGATGGTGTTAGTTTTGGATGGTCCAATCAATTCCTGCATAGTCTATTTTATAAGAACACAGGTTAAAATTCCTTAAAAAATAAGAACAAGAACAAATTGAGGCCGAGGACCGGTGGGCCTAATTTCAAATGAGGTTTTCATAAAATTGGCATTTTGCTGGGTTAAGAACAACACCATACTCATTAAGTCGAGTAAACAATTGTCGCAAATGGTTTTTATACTGGGTGTCCCGAAAGCTCAGACCTACGAAAGCTAACACCTAAGACCTAAGATTACGAGATATCAGACCCACTCGAAATATCAGACCCCAAAAATTAAGACCCTCAACAAGTATGCCAGGATTTCTAGAGAATAAGACCTTTATTCGAAAGCTAACATCAATTTTCCCAGCTTTTACTGATTAAGACAAAGATTAGGGACTGGAACCCGTCTACAGCTAGGTCAGCTAGGCCCTTATTTGCGACATTTACTGGAGAAGACAAATACAGTACAAACAAACCGCTGTACGTATACAGGCTCTTCGCTCTCCACGGAACCCGGCCGTACGGTACGGTTTCGGTACGTTTTCGATAGCGGTTCCTGATGTACATCGTGGGAATATCCGATATTATGGTTCTCGATCGTTTTGCTCTTTATATTTTTACCATGCTTTGCATCTTTTTAAAATAAGTCTTTTTGCTGCTTTTTATGATGTTTTGGAAATTGATGTCCAATTTTCATCATTGTACATGTTTCTTTAGATGCCAAAATCTTCTTTACTTGTTTGTTTGTTGTATATTTCAAAATATTATTTTCAAAATAGTATATAATACAAAAGATAAAATTACTAAAAACCAAGACCAGTGGCAGATCCGGGGGGTGAGGGCCCGTCCCCCCCCCCAACCACGTCAGTCATGCCGAAAAAAAAGAGTGAGAAAAATTCGAGTTAAAAAGAGAAAAATGTGTACCAGTGGAGTGAAAGGATAGCTCGATTATTTCCCACTTATTTACACCAACCATGGTGGGGCTAAGGTGGGCGTGGTGGCGAGAACTTCATATTGTGCCCCCGTTAGAAAATCTTTGAATCCGCCCCTGAGGACTTGGACATGGCACTTAGAGACCTTGTTTATTTGCACCTTATAAATCGACCTATTATTATTATCATCATTAACATTATTATCATTATTATTACTATTAATAATAATAATATTATTATTAATATTAATAATTATATAGCGTATTATTATTATTACAGATACAGATCTTTTATTGTCATAAAAATACAAGGTACAATTATGAAATTTTTCTTCCTTATTGCAAATATACCCAATATAAAAATAAATATAAATATATTATAAAAGCACATACGGTAACACAAAACACAATTCTAACTACATGAATTCTACTAACAACATACATTATCTTAGAAAAGAGTTCCTAAATCTTCCGGTTTTAATATTTGGCATTCTAATTCGTCCGGATTTATTAATCATTATTTCCCCATGCAAAGGGTGTGTTTTATCACCTATGATTAAGTTTAGTTTCTTATACAGAAGGTCAGAGTAGAGAGCATCGAGCTCCACCATGTTTTTTCGGGGCGGATTGTAGGGGATAAGAGGTCTGTCTAATTGCCGTGAACGTCTTGCTGCCTTTGTAATTTGGGATTTAATTAGGTTAAGAGGATAGCCACGACTGAGAAAAAATCCTGCCAGGGTCGTTAACATGGAAATTGTAATCATTAATGTCTGAGCATATCCGTTTGATTCGAAGGCATTGGCTGAATATAATAGACTTTTTCAGACCTAATGGATGTGAGCTGTGAAAGTCTAAGTATGCGTGACTGTCTGTTGGTTTAGAGTGCAAAGATGTGGAGATACGATTGTTATTGATGGTAACTGCTACATCCAGGAAAGGTATGGATGTATGATATTCAGATGTAAACTTAATATGAGGGTGAAAGTTGTTCACATGATCCATAAATGTCTTAAGGTTGTATTCTCCGTGTGGCCAAATTATGAAAATATCGTCAAAATAACGTCGGTAGAACAGAGGTTTAAGAGGGAATGAAGCAATGAGTTTGGATTCAAGAATAGACATAAAAATATTGGCATAATTAGGAGCCATTTTGGTTCCCATTGCAGTGCCCTTAATTTGGAGGTAGTGTTTATTATTGAAAGTAAATAATAAAGTAAGTTATGGAGATTGTGTCATTAATGTGTTTATGTGAAAACGAGTGCTGGGGTAAAAATGTCGCAAGGGCTTGGAGGCCTTCATCATGGGGAATATTGCTATACAAAGAGGATACGTCCAAAGTGACCAACAAAGTATGTTCAGAAAGTGTGTAATGTCCTTGACGAAGCTAGGAATTGAAGGTATGAGAGGCTGTAAAAGTGAGTCAATGTATCCTGATAAATGTTCGGTGAGTGTACAAATAGCCGATACAATCGGTCTACTGGGAGGGGTAATTTTGTGTGTCCTGACTAGGTTGAACAGTTTAACCTGTTCAGATAGAATACTAACACTAGCATTGGGGGAAAGTGAATTAAGTTTTATTCAAGTTGTCTTTGGTTGTCTCTCCCGTGTTTTTATTGATGAAGGCATTGAGATAGCTTTTAGCCGTATTCACAAATGACTCGATAAATGGGTTCTTACTCACAGTAAGCGTCCATTGGCGGGTGAGACTGGCGGGCTTGTATGGTTGAGGATTGACGTAGTCGTTTGTACCATTGTCATTGTTGTTAAAATGTTCTATGAGACGGATTCTCCGGGTGAATTGGTGAAAGGTCCGAACAAAGATTGACAGGATCTGGTTTCGTCGATGGACAGTATGATAGACCCTTGTTAAGCAAAGATCGTTCTCCTTCAGTCGGCTTGTGATCAGAAAGATTAACAAAGTTGTTTGTTTTACCTTCTTGTTGTCCTCGGACGCTCCTTGGAAAATGGTTAAGGAGGGTAGATCTTTGATTGTCTTTGGAGTTTTTCTTTCTTCTTTATTATTCATATGAACACACATGGACTCCTCTTCATGGTGACAGAATACAAGGGTCCCAAGTCTCACAGAACTTGCGGGAGTCTCCCAGAAATCGGGACGACCTTCCGCACTCCCGCAAGCAAGCAAGAATCTCCCGGAAATAACCCATCTCCCACAAATTCATAATATTTGCATATTTTCAATATTTCATTATCGATTATCTCATGGAAGTGGGTGCCGATGGGTATCACTATGTGCTGTAATCCATTTAGATGTGTTGTTGAAAGTCAGTAATCACTGTAGATCAGTGGAGGATTCAAAGGGAGGGGTGACAGCTGGACAGTGCAACTAAATTTTACAAATTATATATAAAAAAAATGGGGGAAAAATTCATATTCTAAAATTTACATTCAGAGAGTGTCATTTCTGTCTCTTATACACATCTAGATGTGTATAAGAGACAAGTAGGGGGACATCATATCGATTGTCCCCCCCCCCACTTTTTACCAATCTTCTATAATTAAAACCCCACTTTTAAAAGCGAATGGAAAGAATAACAATTACGCCTGACTCATGAATTTTGTCTGTTCACTTTTCTATGTGTGGTACGTATTTTCCGGACCAAAACCGAGTAAAAACGCAATTTTTTATACATTTCGTAACCATCTCAGAAACCACTAGATCGATTTTATGGGTGCAACGGTTATCAGAGGCTAAATTTATTGTGAAAACAATGTACTGAACGTTGTTAAAATTGGAAGCATGTATACTTATAAAAAAAAGTGCACAATTTCTTCTATAAACTATTTATTCCTTTTGTATATTATTATGACCTGTACGTATATAGTGTTTAATATTATCTACATACATGGGATTACTGTTTTTTTTTTTTTTCAAAAAAAATTATAGTTAGTCAATTGAATTTTATATAGCCATTATTAAACAATAATTATACAGCCTTTGACACGGATATGTCTAACTATTTCGATTAAGTGATACCAAAAGTTTACAAACTCCAGTGTTACGTTGACGCAATCTCACAATGACGTCATAATAATCAGTGGTGGATTCAAGTGGGGCCGAGCCGACCCTAAAATTTTCAAAATTATTTTTAAAAAATGGAAAAAACAAAGGAAAATTACAATTAGAATTTAGGTCTGAAAGTGCCATTTCCGGCCATCTAGAGGTGTCATAATCATAAATTTTCTTTCCTCAGCCCCAACCACGGTGGGGCTGAGGTGGTCTACACTCTCCATCTGTAAAAGTCCCTCTCTGGGCCCAGGTCTATTTCAAATTACTGGATCTGCCACTGGATATTTTGAAATTTCGTATAAAAATAAATGTTGCATTGCTTAAAATCAATTAAAAGGCTATAGGCGCCAGAGCTTTCGCGGTCTTCGCCACCCATGGTCCCCAACGAAGGCCATGGCCCAAAGCTTTATTTTTCATTTCGTCCCCCACCCCCACTTTCAACCACGGATCGACGCCCTTGCATATATGAGAAAGGTCCCGCGTTCGAGTCGTGTGGGCCCGTGGGGGCTGAGATTCTTTAATAATACAGAAGCATTTAAAAATGTCTATTTCTTTTTTTTTCTAGTTGTACTTGAAATATGGTGCTATTAACCGTATGTCAACTGGTAGGTCTATGTGCTGTAGCATTTAGTTGGCCTATATCCAAGCCATCAATGTCTGCTTCACCAACCGATGTATTTGAAAAAGTCCCTTCGCCAAACATCGCTACTGGTACTGATCTTAAATTAAAGTGTTTCGATTCAGGAGGGCCATCAAATGTTACCGTCACACACAAGAACATGATAATTGAAAATTACAATCAAGTCCAAAACATCAGCAATGGTTGTGATTTTAAATTAAAGTGTGTATACTCAGGAGACTTAGCAAACATTGCCGTCTACCGCAACAACATGATATTTAAAAATTACAACATAACACTGGATGAAAAAGAAGGAATTCTTGAGTTAGTGTTTGGGCAGGTGACAGAAAACAGTGAGGGAAGATACAAAGTGACAATTGAAAATCAAGACTTTTTTGACGAGTTTGGATTCCAGCTGAACGTCAATAACAAGTCTAATAATGTTGAATGTAACGGAGGCACGTCCATGAACATTCTAAAATTCACGACTATACCCAATCCAGTCCAAAACATCAGTAATGGTTGTGATTTTAAATTAAAGTGTGTATACTCAGGAGATTTAGCAAACATTGCCGTCTATTACAACAACATGATGATTGAAAATTACATCAAAACACTGGATGAAAAAGAAGGAATTCTTGAGTTAGTGTTTGGGCAGGTGACAGAAAACAGTGAGGGAAGATACAAAGTGACAATTGAAAATCAAGACTTTTTTGACGATTTTAAATTTCAGCTAAATATCAATGACGAGCCTAATAACGATCCGAACTTTAAGATTATGTGTTCAACACCCAACGAAAATAAAACAGGATTCAGCCCAGGAAATATCTCTATCCCCGGAGAGCATTACACTAACTCAGGAGCAGATAAAACTATAGCTTATATTCTTATTATTATTATTATTATAGGCCTATCCTTTGCTGTTGCCATCATCATGTGTGTATTCCTAATTCGCAAAAAAAAAAAAAAAAAACTTGGAAAAGAAAATTCTTCTGGTGAACAGTCAGAAATACCTGATCAAGATCCAAAATCAGGTGAACTTCGATCTTGTTTAGAAACACCTGAACAAGATCCAAAATTAGATGAACCTGGATCTTGTTCAGAAACACCTGAACAAGATCCAAACTCATTTGAACTTGGATCTTGTTCAGAAACACCTGAACAAGATCCAAAATCAGTGAACTTGGATCTTCAGAAACACCTGAACAAGATCCAAAACCAGATGAACTTAGATTTTGTTTAGAAACACCTGAACAAGATCCAAAATCAGTTGAACTTGGATCTTGTTTAGAAACACCTGAAAAAGATCCAAAATCAGATGAACTTGGATCTTGTTCAGAAACACCTGAACAAGATCCAAAATTAGATGAACTTGGATCTTGTTTAGAAACACCTGAACAAGATCCAAAATCAGATGAACCTGGATCTTCAGAAACACCTGAACAAGATAAAAAATCTGATGAACTTGGATCTTATTCAGATCTATTTTCGGAGAGCGCCACTAACGTCGGTTGATGTCGAGAAACTAAACTGGTTTGGGTTCATGAATTTTAGAATCTTCGTTGATGTGCTTCCGTTAAAGACATCGTTAGATCATAGAGCAAATCTATTTAGGCCAATACACAAAGTGTTAATGTCAGGCCAATGTTGAGAAGTCAATGTCAGATACGATACGATACAGTGGCAAGTACGTGATAATAGCTTACACCACCAGGGTAAGAGGGCGCATGCCTTTGATCCGAAGGGTCTTTGGTCCGAAGGCCCGTTAGTTCCTAATTTTAGTTGGGTGAGTACTGTACCTTTGGTCCGAAGGCCCATTGGTCCGAATGTACCTAATTTTAGTGACCTGGTTTTCCAAAAATAATTGTTATGATTTATTGAAACCGTTTGTTATGTCAGCTGGGCTCTTGGTCGCCTTCTAATTTAGGGACGTTCTTGACCGCAGAATGCGTTCCTGATCTGCTTCCTTGAGTGATTCTTTATTTTTATATTTATATATTATGTAATTTTTGTCTTATGTGATCTATGCTTTTGTTGTTGGCTTTAAAGAATACTTTCATATTTATACATATACATATATATATATATTTTATACACATCTAGATGTGTATAAGAGACAGTAACAATATATATATGTATATATATATATATATATATATATATATATATATATATATATATATTTATGCTAAGGCAGATTACAACCGTTTTATTTGTTTTTCATTTTGTCACTCTGCCTATGCAGCTTTATTAATTTTATATATTATATACTTGACAAAAATCAGGTTTCGCAAATAGTCTAGTACTAAATGTATAATAAACAAAAGTTAGGCCCTACATGTAAAAAAAGCCTTAATTACTTAATTAAATAGAATTACAAATAAAGTTTACAAAAAGATGTTTATGCCTAACTCATTTACATCACAAAACAAACAAACTAAGCCGCTGAAACGTGGGTCTGTTGACGTTAAACCTGCGTGAAAATAGCCTAAAAATATGTAATTATTTTTCACGTGAAGTCTAATAATAAGGTTAGGCCTATATTATACCTCTCGTCAAGTGAATTGTTTGCTCATGTTGCAGAGTTAAGCATCTTGCAACAATCAATAATTTTGTATTGTTACCGTTAGCTATCATGTGTTTTGTTCTTGTTTCATTTTTTTTTTTCCATATTTAAAATATAATAATTTCGGACCAACGGACCTTTGGCCCTTTCGGACCGAAGCCCCTTTGGACCAAAGGACCTTCGAAGCAATGCACTGACCCCAATTCATTTCACCATTTTATACGAAAATCCTTAATTATACGAACCAAAAGTATCTGAATGCCTATATGAATAGCCCCGGCCCCAGTGCTTTGCACGGGCTGCACTTTCCATACCCAAGCCATGCCCTATATTATACAATAGGCCTACAGTAATATGCGATGTACAATAAAAATTGTCTATCTTTGAAAAAAGTATGTCAAATAGGCTTACGAAAAAGTAGAACATGAGCCTGAAATTCGTACTTTACTAGTTCTTATACAAAAAAAGTCTATGATATCTTAAAGGTACAGCAGTGGCGGATCCAGAAATTCAAAATATAGAGGGCCCAGGGCAGGACTTGGACAGATAGGCCTAGTGGGTCTATACCGCCTCAGCCCCACCATGGTTGGGACTGAGGAAAGAAAAATTATGATTATGGCACCTCTAGGTGACCAGAAATGGCACTCTCATACTTAAATTTGAATATAATTTTATATTTTTCTCCATATTTTTTCATAATGATGGAAAATTTAGAAGGGCCCAGGCCGGCGCCACCCACAACACCCCCCCCCCGAAACCGCCACTTGTACGGTAGGCTACGTAAATGGTGGTAATTGCACTTAGACGTTCCAGATTTATTCAAGCTACGGTATCACACGTACTTTTGGTTTATTTTAAGTTACAGTAAAGTTTTTTTGTACAGTAATTAATGATAAAAAGTTTTACTATTAGAATATTTTCAAACTTGTATCTGAATGTTTCATAATATTGTCTTTTTATGTATTAAAATGTTAAACCAAATTCAAATAAAATAAAATTCAATTGCAAACACCATGAATTCAAAAATATTAACCAAAACTGAGAAAGTCGTATGGTGTTTGTATCCCGTAGTTATGTTGGGCACAATATTGTTTACATGTTTACTATTTACGGTATCGTAGATCAATTGATATAATTAAATAATTAACAAGATCCACTTTCATTTTGATTAATATACATATAAGAAAGTATAGGCCTATTGTTATTAAAATGAGTTAACTCGTGGTATGAAGGGTTCTATTTTACGGAAGGATTAATTATTGCTTAGCTCCACTATGGCTCCACACAGAAGTAGGCCCTATTGATATGTTAATTAATTACTTACTTCCTGTTACTGCTTGGTATTTTATGTTTTTAGTTTTTTCAATTTACTTGATCTTGAGAATGGTTCCATGATGGACCCGAAACGTCGATCTTTCTTGTCATTAAATTTTGTTTTGAAATTATATAGTAAGCGTCTCTTAATCATCACGTGGTATGTGTTGATTGAAATAGTTTATTGTATTCATCTTCCCAAAGGTCGTAACTATGCTGTATTATAATTATACCAGTACGTTTTAGTCTCTTTACGATGTTGTAAGCCTAATTCATTGCTTATTTTATAATGATTTTTAAAATTATTAATTTGTTGTATTGTAAATGTATCATTTTTAAAAATAAATTTATCATTTTTTGCGAACAAGTAAGCAACTGTATAACATTTAGTAAGTATATACTACGGTAGGAGTTTGTATTGTAAATTTATTCATGTTATTTTTTAAAAAGAAATTCATCATTGTTTGCCAACAAGTAAGCAATTGTTTAACATTTAGTTGTAACTTAAAAGTGTTTTCTAAAACAAACCACTATGAGAAATTTCATTCTTAATGGTTGAATTTAACTTTACACTTTATTAATTGGTATATTTCCTTAATTATTGCTGGCTTAGATTTATTTAAGATACATAATAAATAGTGTGATAATAATTGTTATTTTTGTTGTTGTTTTCGTGTCGTCATTATTATTGATATGTTTATTAGTAATTAGTAGCCCTAATAATGTAATGGTTATGTATATAGTGCGCATGGAGACAATCGCTATAAAAAAAAATGTAGCCCTACATAGGCCTACGCGGCCACTTTTTATTGACCAGTAACTACATTTGTACAGGTATTTGCGCTAATGTAGGCATATTTCATATATAAATATTGTTAAGGTAGTATATATATATATATATATATATATAT